GTCAGGGCCCATGTCCCATTGGGCAAAGCACCTTACAACAGGACACAAACTTATTCCAGTGGGCTAAATGCACAAAATAAGCAGATGCCTATTGTCTCTTCTTTTGAGAAATTATGCCCTTTTATCAGGATGTGCCCAATGGTTAATTTCCCAGAGAGGAAACACAGAGCAGAACCACTCATGGAACACCTTGCATTCAGAGTTTAATCTTCAGTATTTTTCCATTTCTCTGATACCAGGAAGGGAAAGTCTTTCTTTGAATAGCTTGTGCATTAACCACAAGGCAAACTCTATTTGGATCACAATATTTTTAGGCAGGCAACTGTTTTAAATGGCAGTATTCAACAATCAAAAATAGGCAATAGTTGAAGTAGTATTATTGTGGAACAGTAAAATAAAAGTAGGGAATAGCTTTTTCTTTAAACTCCTGTATGTAAACTGTAACTCTTTTATTAGTTAAAAAAATCAAGGAATTTTAGGAATTGCATTTTAGTGTCTTATGACTTCAGTACAGAACTCCCATATTATTTCTGATGGTAATTATCTATTCTGCTAAAGAAAAGATATAATTCTAAAGGATTATGAATCTCTGGCGTAACTGCTTACGATACTAATGAGTAGGTCTGTAGTCAATTTGCTGTATACAGATGTCAGATCCCAAAGGACATTTCTCTTCCCATCTTTTTAAAAATACAAATATAAAATGTGTCTTCTTAAAGTCTAACATTTCTAAAAAGGAAAAGGCAAATGTTTCTTAAGTCTTCTAAACAGTATAACTGGCTATTTAATATATGAATATTTATGGAGTGTTCTGCTTAAGGCAGAAGCATTTCTGTAATTATAGACTTCGGCGCCCAACACCTTGAAAATGTCAAATATAATTAGGTGGTAGAATGTGTATTGTTTTAATTACAAAATGAAATAGGAATTTTCCTTTGCCTAATTAGAATAATAAAACCCCCAATGTCAATTCTTGACTAATCCTGACTAATAAGTCTTTATACTCATAGTTCCTTGGATGGCTAATGGAGAAAGATGCCTGTTTAGCTTTTAATTTAGACCTGTAAATTTAAAGCTTGACCCAAATGGTAAAACCCTGTTTGGCTTAGAGTCTTAAAGTCAGAAGGTTAATCAGCACAGCTGCTGAAAAAGTTTGATTTGTGGTCTATTTTAACATTTAACAAACTATTTAACATAGTTTTAAAGTGAGATTTTTTTGGTTTTTCCCTCCTTGCTGTTTTCTTAAACTGTAAGTTAAAAGCCCTCATTAAACCACAGAACTTTGCTATTAATAATAATTAACTTTATCAATATTTTAAAGCTTTTGCTGTATTGAGTCCAAGTATCAGAAAAGATGTTCTCTGTTCCCAAGAGTTCAACCCAGAGATGTTGTAAGGAGAAAACTTCCTGTGTTACATAGTGCAGGACAAACCAAAGCAGCATTCAGCAGCACAACTTCTCTGAGATGAGGGTGCATGTAACAAATCTTCCTTTGGGCCAAGAGCCACAGGACAGCCCCCACAATGATAGAGCACAGAATCTGAAAGAAGAGATGGCTGGCAGAGGAGTTCAGAGGTGGAGGATAAAAGTTCTCCAGGCTGTTCATCTCTTCCATGGATCATGCTGTGATTGCTCTGGGGGTCACTTTGGGGTGCTTCTGGTTTACTTGCAAGGATTAAAGATTGTCCAGGATGCACAGTGCAGGCACAATTTGCAACAGATCATATGGCACAGCCTATGCATGGAAGCCATGCTGGTCCTGCCCAAAACTCAGAAGTTGGTTACTGCTTAATCTCTGGACCCAAAATTACTGGGGCACCCCTAGGTACATGGAAATGCTTCAGTTAAAACCTGTCTAAGATTAGATTTCCATGACTTTGAATGTATGTAACAAGGAACCTGTGGAGCTATAGCCCACTAAATACAGCATCATCACTCCTACTAACAAGCTACAGGTTTTGTATTGAGTTTGTGAGGACTCAGAACGGAGGCTCATCAAACAGGCTTTGTCCTTAAACCTTAGAAATCAGGCTATGGCTAATTTGTCTTATTTTCATATCTTTATATGGTACATCTTTGCATGATTTTTGTATTTATATCTAGCAATAACAAGTAGCTATTTAGTATAAAATGTACCGGAGTGTAGCACATCCCAAATCCTTTCTCAGGAGCAGTACAACATTGATGGGGATTCTTCCTCACTTTAGGAACCACTTTGTTTCATTTTTATGTTTGCTAATGCACGTTTACACCTTCCTCTCTCTTGATTTGTCTTTCCACATTACATCCCAATCTCCTATATGTGGCATGGCTCACATATGTTTGATTCTTGTTTTTGACCTCTCTGTTACCTTTCAGTTTTGCCAGTTGCAGTTCTGCATTTCTTTATCTGACCATTGGGTCAGTTGTTTATAACCTTGAGGTCTCCAGTACCAGTACATGCCCCATCTCCTACCCTACACCTACAACTCCACCAGATTGCACTCTCTGTAATGCAGAGCTACAGGTCTGGTGTGATGGCAGCAGTCTTGCAAATGGGTCAGTGGAAGGTCAAGGCTTAGTAGGGAAGTCTTATTGGAGTGGATAGAACCTGGGAATATCAGGCTTCTATAAATTCTCTAAAATTGTACACTGCTAGTTTTATATTTTACTCATATACATCAACATTTAACTAAGCAAAAAGTCCCTATTTATCTTCAGGAAAATAACATCTTAAAATTCATGGGCTTTTTGTGAATTCAGACGTGGAATGTCACATACTCAGATACCTGAACCTGTTTTGTAGGTTGCAGTTATGTGACTTTTGCTTTGCTAAACTGTCTGGGCATTCTCACTTATTCTCTCCCAGATTCTGTGGTGATGTTGCCTGTATAAGAGGTAGGCAGAAAACAGAGAAGCAGCATGTATGTAGCTTTCAGAGAAAGTCAAGATATGGTTTGCCAGATGCAGACTGAAGATGGTATGACTAACCCAGCTGTCAAAAGAAGGGGTTATGGGATGACTGATACACTGTTGGGATATTTTATATTTTGTAAATAATTTTTAGACTTGGATGGCTAGGAACTTCTCAGATTCTTAGGTTGTTCTGCAACCCTTCCACAGCAAGCAAGGGGTTCCTGAGCATTGGAGCTGCCTCCTGATGTTTCTCTTGTTTTCTGGGAACTGGGAATCTTTGTAAGCAATAAAGTAAATAAACAGGATTGCCTCAAAGAGAGCAAATTAATGCCATTGCTTTCCCAGCACAAAAAAAAATACCAGCCAAGTCTTTGAGAGAAGGATGGTCTAATTAGTAACTATGTTTAGTTCCCATGACAAGGCTGTGGCATTGTGGAAGATTCTATTTATCATAAATGTCAATCCTTGTGCCAAGGAATTCATGGTCTAAATGACAAGGTATAACAGATGGATGAGACAAAAAAGACGGCTGTAGTGGTTGGAGGAGACAAGGTGTTCTTAGCCAGCTACTAACAGCAACTGCAGCTTTCAACCCTCCCTGGTTGCTGTCCTGTTGTACTTTCTGTGAGATTCACAATGGACAGGAGGAGAGAATGGAAAGAGAATAAGTTTCTCTTATCCTGACAGGGATGAATACTGAGGTCATTACTGTGATTGGACAGCTTCCAGAATAGGTCAGTATTAAGAAGTGGAATCAGCCAAATTCTGCCATTTTCTCATTTTTGAGAACCCTTGACTCTGAAGAGAGAGGACTAAGCATGAGATGCATATAGAGCAGGGGACTGGCTTGACAAAAAAGTGAGATTTTTAGATTTATTTTTATATTCTAAACTTAATTCTTAAATGTCTCAGACTTATTAAAGAAGACATTCAGTCTTTTCAGAAATGAAATGCTTCCATCTGTATAAAGTCTTTCTGCTTTTCTGCCTGAACTTGAGTTTCTGCTGCTCCTTGTCGCTTTTCTGGATGAAGGTTTCATCTGACCACAAGCTATATGGAATTAGTCTTTTCTCTAAAGTAGTTGTGCCTCACCATTTTCTAACTTCTGTGGAAGTTATGTACAGATACATGATATGATACAATTCCTATTTATTTCAGAAATCTCAGTCATGCTGAATGCACAGTAACCCTAAAAGTGTTTTTTTTATTTTTCTGTTTTTATAAATATATGTAAAGCAGCAATTACACAGGGAGAAACCAACAAAATAAAAATTGTTTAACAAAAATATTTTTGGGAAGGAATAATCTATAAATACTTTACAAATTTTCTATATTATATATTTTATATATATATATTAGATTAAATGTATGTTTAAAGTAAATCCTCAGGCAGAAGTTTAAAACACAAAAACATCAGTAATGCATTTTCTTCAGAGTGACTTCAAACATAATTTATGATCCCTTATCTTAATTATTGTTTGATTACATCAATTATAATAACAATCAATTAATAATTTATTGTTGTAATCAATTAATAACTACATACAATGAGATTTAGGACATTACATGTACTGTTGATTACAAAATTTATTTTATGCTCTTGCTGCAATGTTATGGTAAATCAAGAACAGCAGCACTTCAACAAAAGGCAGTGCCATGAAATTTCAGCTAGACATTTTTTCAAAAACCCAGTCTCAAAGGGACAAAGCTGCTAGTCCCTACACAATGCCACAATTTATTGTACTCTCTAAAGCATGCTGATTTCCATGCACACAAAAAAATATTTCATCCTGTAGGTGCCAGCCCTTCTCCAGTGGCTTCCTCCCATGCTGTTCAGCCACTTCTGAACTCCCTACAAACTGAACTTTTAAGTGACAGGATCATCAGACAAGATACCATGTTTGTAATAGCTCAGCTCCTGTGCATGTTAAGGCTCCATAATATGCTGGGTTTTATTAACTTTGGCTCCAGGGTAATAGATTTTTAACAACTATAAAAGAAGATCACAGATAGTAGGATAATAAATTTTTGGAAGAGGTAGTAATTTGGAAAAATGTATCTCCATTAATATCTAACATAGTCAGCCTTTCTTTTACTGCTGGAAGTACTAGGTCAAGAGGATGTTGCTGGACTGAAAAGGAAGCAGGGCCTTCTTTCACTGAGAACTACTCTAACTCCACACTTGCCAAGCACAGAGCCAAAACCAGAAGGGACATCTAGCTTGTGGTATTGGCATTTGTTTTCCAAAGACAGCCTTGGCACAGGTATGACACTTCCCTTTTCATTCCTCTTGTATGGTCATCTCCTGCCAAAAGCTGGTAATGTTTAGACTATATAGCTCCTCCATAAGCACAGAAGTGATGGGAGGGATGCAACATTGATCACTTGGCCCACGAATTATACAGCTGCTCTGAATGCACAGCAGCCTCCTCAGGTCTCAGACAGCCCCCTAATTTTGGGGATATTGGTCTGTAATGCAGCTTTATAAACACAACTGACATCTATACTCTGAGAGTCAGCCACATGTCTGGGTCAGCTCAATGAGCACACAGCTAAGTGTATTTCTCCTTCTCTCACACATGGTTGACTCTTTTGAGAGAAAAAGATGTATTTAGAATATATTATGCTACTTTGACAGTAGCAAAGGGATAATTTCATCTTCTGCCATTGGGGATCTTTGCTGGGTGCAGCCCCCAGTTAATTTAACAGAAAGCCAATCTAGAGAGGAATATGACTCCACTGTGCCTCCAAGGCACAGCATTAGAGTTTAATTTTTACATTAGATCCAAACATCCCATTCTTAGGAAGAAAGATTTATTCCTACCTCCTATTCTCTCTCTTATTCTAATCACTGCGCTCCCCTGATTTTTTTTGTCTTTTGCAGTCACACCTATACATGACTTGCAGGTCATTGTAATTTAAATATTGTGGGTCATGCATGGCTGAACAGCTGAAAAGCATTCCAGATGTGATTCAGAAGTGCTACTGAGTATCAAATGATGTTTCAAGCCCAGCTCTCTCAGTGTAAATTAGAAACAAAAGGAGGAAAAGCACCTGTTACTGAGACACTTGTCCCTTGCATTTATTCCAGTTGGGTCTCATGACCTCCTGAGTTCTGCAGCCTGGAGTTCTGCAATGATAACAGATCTTTGTGCTTTCTGCTGGCTAGAATTCCAGCTCCTTTGGGGAACAAGGAAAGTAAGTGTTTTTCTACTACTAGAAGAAGTATTTCCAAACTGATTAAGGTCTGACTGAACTCTGGAAAATGTAGAAAAAGAAGTTGTATCCATATGCATTTGTAACACAGATTCTAGAAGACAACATAAGGAAGAAAATTTAACTGCACAAGGGACAGCATCTAGAATATCTCCAGTTTTAATCCCTGGAAGTTACACAACCAGCAGATGAAGGCTGTGCTACAACAAAACAATTAAGCTGGAGAATAAATGTATTGAGTCATGCAGATTGACAACACCTTGACCTTTTGCTTTCCCACATATTAGGCACTGGATGAAGCAGTAATGCCACCGAAGTCAAAAGCAAAATTTATGCAATTTCCATGAGAACAGGATTTAAACCAAGAGTTCTTGAAATGGGAGAGCATGAGTAAAGACAGTCTATTTCCTTCACAGAGAGAAATCTGTCTTTCCTGACTCCAAAGTGTGACCACTCTGCCAGGAATGGAAACTGTATAACTCTGGAAGTCTTCCAGATTGACATTAAAATTCAAGACATCAATATTTCTTCTCTAAGTGAATATAATAATGATATACTCCGAATATGCTGAAAACAAAGTCAGTTAACAAAACCCGAAACTTATTCCAGGAATACTTATTTTCAAGATCTCCCAGAGGTATGTAGACTTTTTATCATGAAAAGTAATTTCCACTAGGCCAGAGGGACTATGAATTTTCATGGAAAGCTTTGTCTTTCTCAACTATGCAAATGAAATTCAGATAACCCATACAGAACCCTAAAATGCTGTAAGCATAATTAGGAATAAAAGAGGCCTAACTGCCTGACGGTGATGATTACCATGTCCTTCAGGTAAGTGTGCACAAGGCAATCTAAAATTATTCAGCTCTTGGGAGTGTGTGCTCATCAGAGGTTCTGCTAAGCAGAACTATTGCCAGTCCTTTAAAATAACCTCTAAAACATTCTTAGGAGACACAGGATAAGTTATCAAGTTATTTTACTTTATGAGTAATGAAACTTGAAAACATGTAATTAAAAATGTGTTGAGATTTACTTCATAATGTTTTTTTGCCTCTAATGCTTTTAGAGAATGACCCATCCACATTTTTCAGAAGTTGTCTCTTCATTTTCTTTCCATTTCCCTGTCTTTCAAAGCTCTAGCCTGATTCTCTTTTTGCTTTTCCCACGGAAATAAAGACTACCTCCAATGATCTTAAGAGGAGCATGTTAGTTTTATTTTTGTTGTAAACACCTGCCAGTTTGACTTTGTAAGTTCATAGAATATATCCTGAGTTGGAAGGGACCCACAAGGACCACTGAAGTCCAGCTCCTGGTCATGCACAGCACTATCCCCAAGAGTCACACCATGTGCCCAACAGCACTGTCCAAACACTTCTTGAACTCTGCTAGGCTGGTGCTGTGATCACTGCCCTGGGGAGCCTGTTCCAGAACCCAACCACCCTCTAGGTGAGGAACCTTTGTGTAATGTCCAACCTAAACCTCCCCTGACGAAATTTCCCACCTTGGGTCCTGTTGCTTATCACCAGAGAGGAGATTGGTACCTGCCCCTCATCTTTTCTCTTGTGAGGAAGCTGCAGACAGCTATGAGGTCTTACCTCAGTCTCCTTTTCTCCAGGGCAGTTGGCCTGCCTACATTCTATGTAATCATATTTTTATCTAAGCCTGAAAGTCACTGCCACTAAACACATTTGTTTACTGGAGTTAATCTCATTCATAATACATTCATATGGATCTTAACTGTTGAAACCCCTAAGTGTCAGAACTGTATTTGTTGCTGTTTCTAAGGTTCTGCATGCCTGCATTATATTGATTGTTACATGTATTATTTCACTCATTTCACTCTTTAAAGTATATTTCATTTGTATAACATGAATACATCCCTTTCCTACCATGCTGAAAAAAAATTTACTTTCAACTCAACATTTTTTTCCCAAGTCTATGCTTTTGTCTAGCATTCAAAAGGAAAAAACAAGCACATTTTTAGAAATGTATTTTCTAAACAATGTGTTTTTCCTTGGGCCTAGACCTCCTAAATAGGTCTTGCTGGAAAGTGGATGTCAGCAAGCCCTACTTTTCTTGTTTGAAGGTGGAAACTTAATGGGCTATGGGTTTTTTTGTTGCAATTCAGAGTGGGAAGGCACTGTCTGCTATGAACAGGAGAGAGAGAATAAAAGTGGGTGAGTGCTAAAAGAAAAAAAAAGCATAAAAGAATTGACAGTATTCAAAGACAAGATGTTGAAAGCCTGCTTCTTACCATCCATTTATGAAAGTAAAAGATTTAAATTCAGAAAGCCTTATTTAAAGTAGGTAAATTTTGGGTTTAAGTAGTTGACTGTTGTTGGATTGCATTAGGACCTTACCTCCTACCTACAAAAGAAATCCTTATTACATGGTAATGGCCATCAACCATACTGGGTGACTCCTCTATCCCTTACGCTTGCAAACTTCTCACTGCAATTAAATGATCTCTAAATAAATCCCTCTTTATGGAGTACAACTTAACCTGGTTCTGTTTGAGCCAATCACAACAGAAGATTTTAAGTCATCATGTCCTTTCCCTGATGCTGTTGAAGTGCTGGCATTTACTGTGCTCCAAAGCTTTATTAAAAGCATTCTCGTTAGTCTGATTAGAATTAGTGCGCATGTGTGCAAATGCGGAGTGGGCGTTCACAGGGAACACAAGCTACATGCTCCTTTCAAGTATCACATGAATTGTTGTTAATCTTTCACCTAAATGATTTGAGTACTCAACTGAAAAGTGGGAAATGGTTTCAAATCCTCCTGCTACGTAATGGGACAGGGCTGATAACTCACCAAAAAGTTTCCAAATCAACCTTTAGGTTTAGGTGTACTGCAGTCAGCTTTTCTCTTGATGTTTCTTTTGCTTTTACTTTTCAGTTCAAGAGGGGCTGTAAGTCTGCAGTTCAATTATTAGAAATTACTCTTGGTGGGGAAGGGCTCACACAGGCTCTTGACTGCTCCTGTGACTGAATAACATAGAAGCTTTAAAAGTTCATTAAGAGACCTTTCTGTTAATTGAGGACTTTGACTACCTCAGAGCAACTGGGTGTTGGAAAGATCTCCACCTGTTTTTAAATGAAGCTTGAAATGTCTTGCTGAAGGACCTAACATTCCAGACCTAAGTGGAGAACTCTCCTGCCTCATGTGGGAACTGAAAGCAGAGCTCAGTGTAGGTTCTTTACTGCTCACAGAATCCTTTACCTTATTCTTTGGAACAGCTGCAGGGAGCTTCTAGGGAAAGTGTATGTATGCAGTCAGTATTACATAAGGCAACTCTTAAGAGCAGCAGGCACACACTTTGTACTATTGCTCTGCATTTCATCCCATCTTGCTGCAGGCCAAAGCACAGCCCACCTAAGAGCACAAGTTCTGTTGTGTCTTGCAGGACCACTATATCATTTCCAGCATTAGAGTCCTGCTCAGGCTGAAGTACAGCAACCACCCTTCCTGCATGGATTCCAAAAGCAGCAAGGAGAGCACAGAGAGTGAAGAAGCCCCTTACCCTTTCTTAGGGGCTTCTCCAAGCTTGACTTCTCCCTCCTAATGCAAAGTAATATAAAATATATGGTACAAGTGCCTTCCATCAAGGGGCTTTCCTTGAGCAGGCCTAATCACATTGATAGGATGAGCTTGATGCTTCCATATAACCAGTCTCTGTTAAGCTTTCCAGCTGGTGCAGCTTAGTGCTTGCTGCTGACCATATCCAGGTGCTTACAGAACAGACACCCCACTGTTACCTAAAGTTCCTTCTGAACCCAACCCCCTTCTACCTTCTAGAGAACCTTCAGAGCCCTTCAAGAGCATCTGAGAGAAAATATATTTTGTTTCATATTCATATGAAAAATATATTTCACCCTATGCTTATATTTCAATATTTTTTATATATATATATATATATATTCTGCTTTTGAGTGACAGGTATAGTTTATTTACACCGTGTTTTACCATTAGATTCTTCACATTATTTTCACAATCTGTTTCCTATCTAAGTTAGGTACCTCAAAGTGCCTCAAGCTCATTTCCCTGTGAGCAGGGTCACACGAAACACCTTACTCAACCCATAAAACATTTTTACCTTCCTCTTTCTGCTGTGCCGTTAAACAAATCCACATCACAATGGTTTCTTCAAGCTTAAACTGTGTCTAATCATGGTCTTCCAGAAGTGACTGTACTTTCCAGGGAGGCTAAGTGCCTCCAAGTGACACACCAAGCAGCCAGTGTCTCTGCAACTCCACCTGCTACCAGCTGAGCAGCCATAGCAGGTTTTGCCCTAGAAGATGTGCCGGGAACCTTATTCTGTTTTCCAAACAGACATTTTCAGCTCTGATAGAGGAAACTCATACTTCAGGGGTCAGTAAAAATATATCAGTGATTACCTATTGAGAACATTTCTCTTTATCTAAGCGTTCCCTTATGAACGTGGTTTTTATTCTATCAAAGCAATGCGAGCGGCGTTTGCCTGGAAGCCAGCCCTTCTTGAAACATGTCTTCCTCCCGAGAGGTTCCCAAGCACATAGCCCCATTCAGTTGAGCAACCCTTTCATGTTCCGAGTAATTCTTAGAAATAATTCCTGCTTCAAAAGGCTCGAAAGATGAGCTTAATTTATGCCTGCTCCTTATAGGGAGCTCCGATGCCGATTTCGGTGAGCCAAAGCGTCACGTAAGGGTTTTGCATCAGACGGTGCGGAAAGAGCACCGGGGCGAGCTGGCTGTCCGCGGGCGCACGGCGCTCCCGGCGGATCGGCTCCGCTCCCCGCGCCCGCCGCCAGCCCCCGGCCAGCCCGCTCGGCGTAGCGGCCACTCACCTCCACGAAGTAGAAGCAGGGCAGGAGGGTGACGCTGTCCTTGGTCACTTTGCCCTTTTGCCGCTCCTTCGCGGACATGCTGGCGGGGCTGCGGGCGG